AATTACAATTAGTATACTGCAGGCTCATATTCAACAATATACAAAATAACAAGTAATATCAGAATAAAGATTGCTAAAATATAAATAAAAAATTAAAACAAATATATAGAATTATAATTTTAAAAGAAAATGAAAATTATCAATTTTTTATGAAAAAAAAATGAAGATTTTATTAATATATTAACTTGTTTGGTTCGTCAGTTAAGTAAATTTTAATTTTGATTAATATTGCATAATTATATTCACTGGTAAAATATGTTAGTTGTAAATTGATATTTCCTCATTTTCGTAATATTGCATTGAATTTGAGGAGAAAAATCATATTCTATAGGGAAAGGAAGCAGCGTCAGGAAAAGTAGCACTGGTATTAGCAACAATTTTACTGTAACAGTGAAATTTAAAAAAATTATTTTGCCGTAGCGAGCCTTGATTGAATTGCATTTGAAATTATTGAATTTTGTCTTCAGATAAATATTATTTAATATTTTTTCAGCTATATAGTGTGAAGAATACTGTAAATACAAAATCAAACTCACAATAACCGATATATTTCTAGGAAATTTGAGAATAATATCGACAAACATCCAAATTGATTGGAAGTATTGAAAATCGCGTTATTTGGCGTATGTCTCCTCTCAATTTGCAGGTTATTGGCACCCCAACAAAGTGCATTGTCGCTGATTTCGCGTCTCTCTGCTCATTTGTAAGCAGCGCGATTCCCGGAAATTGAAAAATGCACCTTTTCGCCGGCTGACTTGCTCTCGTCGTTTATAACTGTGAAATCAGAGTTACAAGCAAAGCAGGCAGGCGTCTTGCAGAAGTGCGCCGTGCTGTTCTGTTCACTCTCTCGCCGGCCGGACTATTAAGAAAAGCGCACGAAAAAGAGCTAAAAGCCACTCATTCCGCGGCAGAAAGAGACTTCTTGGGTCACGCTCCGGCAAAACCACAATCGGGCCTTTTTGCTCTGCACACCCTGATGACTCCTCAATGGCTCACTGCTGGCCGTGAAAAAATTTTCCATTTTTTCGCTCGCTAGCTCATTACCGCTTGGAGACGCGGCCTGGATTCGTGAGACGCTTTTTGGTGACCAGCGCTTTTGGGACGATTAATTTTCTTCGTTTGTTCTCAAAATGAATCGAGATTCGTGATCAGTGCCAAAGTCATCTTTGATTAGCTAAATCTATCATTCATGATCGAAAATCCTCATTTTAATCATTCCAACCAGAAAACATTGGAATAACTTTTATATTGTATTTTTTGTTTCATAAATGAACTAATGCATAAAATGGTATTAACGACACTTAAATTAAATTATTAAAATATAATTTTTTAGAAAAATAATCATTACATTTTGCGGTCATAGATGCAGTTTTCTTCATTTTCATAAGTTTTCAGATGAGCATCAATGCTTTGATTTGACCAAAAATTCATTTTTACATTCCAATTAAAAATACTTTCCACAATTCTTCTCAATTTTAATAAAAATTTTTGCTGTTATTATTCTTTTGGAACAAAAAATCTACAACATTTAATTTCAATATCATTGATGCAAATATTGCAAACAATAAAATTATCCAAAACCGTAATGGTCACCGCGTAGTTTGGTTAGATTTAAATTGATTAGGTTCGCGGTGACTTCCAACAATGGTCAACCATTAGCTGCACTTGGGAAAAGCACAATGCGAATCGTCGCAGGTTCGATTTTTATCTGACAGCCAAGTAAGGAATTCGCAGAAAAAAATCCATGGCTTTTAGGTTTGCATTGGCCTAGTGATGCACCGAAGCGTGTCTTGGCTGGTTCCCCGTATTTATTCAAGAATTCAAAAGTCTTTACAGATACATGAGCGGTTTTTTCGGTAACGCTGCCCCGTACACACATAACTGAACCTGATGCTCATTTGCATACCAAGAGGGAATTCGCCGTTTCCCCTCAGCACTTCAAGTATTTTGAGCTGAAACCTCACTGATGAATTATCGTTAGCAAAAATTTGTCTCCTGCTCTCAAAAACGTGACAAAAACAAAAAACCTTCTTGCAAACATTGCGTTCATAATGGTAAATATCCGATTAAAAATTAAGTTCAGCAGAAGACAAAATGGTCAGCAGGATCAAGACAAAAGGAGTATAAGTTTGTGTATAAAACTTTAAACATTGTTTATATCTTCCATAAAATGGCTTGTAATAAAATAAAAATCGCATTTTTTTGCCTTTGGAACTGACGCAGTTAAAAATTAATAAGGCGACTTGATAAATTTATCAACGATTAATGGCCGCTATCGCAATAATGTTTAACATGGCTTTTATAACGTTATAACTTCCTGCTGATAATTAATCAATTCATGATTTTAAATTGTTTTATTATTTGAATATTTTATAAATACACTTTGCTGATCATTATCGATTTTTGTAATTTTTCGGGAAAAAACATAATCATCTAATTATTACAAAGAACCAACTCATGAAAATTGAAAAAATCCGGTCCTACTGAAAATAAAATTTTTATTTTTAACTGATTATTTTTCTGTTCTTTCACAATTCCCACACAAACCCTTTTTTATTTAATAGTATGAATAATGATGTTTTAACAACTATATCAACTTCCACAGGATAACCTTTACTTAGAAGTGTGTTTGCATGTCCCCTCGTCACTTCATAAACAGCAGCTGATGTTCTTTTTTTACACAAACTAATGCTCTTTTCTGGAGAAAATCTTTCCAGAGTGGAATGCCGTGCATCACAATTAATTATAATCCTCACGTGCGGCAAGTGCATGAATGAAGCGAAAAAGAATTCAAAATGTTGCAATCCTGAGAGAATGCATTTGTTTTAAAATAATTGCCTCGGTAACTCTCTTCCGAGAGCTAATTAAACGGAGGGAGAATTTAATAGCGGTTATAAAAGTTATTGTTATTTGCCAATGTGAAGTGCAGCGTGTCCCAGAAAGACGTACTTGAATGAGTTCAAAAACACAAACCGAGGGCAGAACACCGGGCGCGAGTGATAAGCTGCTGCCGTTTAATTATCTGGCGAACATGATCTTGGGTGTAGTGTTGTTCCAATTCGTGACCGGAGCGTGGTTATATTAATTTATAAAACCCGCCGCATTGTTTCCCCCCTTGCATATTGAAGATCCCCCCGCAGATATGTATTACACGTAGATGTTTATAAAGATGCGCTGTGGTACAAAGTTAAGGCGGCTTCAGGTAATGACTCAACGACCTTGCCCGCAGAACAGTTAAAATCCAATCAGCGAGTACGTCGGTCGGTCGATCTATCTCGCCGCGAGATGTTGCATTAAATATTTTCATCTCCCTCGTGCCTTTTGCATTACTTTTATTACCCACGTCATTCCAGATTGCGCGTGTTCTTCCCATTCTCTTACTCCGCCGTGGGTTGTGCAGTGCGTTGGGAAAATGTTATGGTTTCGGACGAAAAAGTCACGTGAGAATTTGGGTCAGGCCGCGGAATTGAATTCATACCCGCCGATCATCACCACCGTTTTTTTTTGTCTCTCTCTTCGGTTACGTATGCAGCGGAATTCCTATATACGAAGAATAAAAACATTGCTTCTTGTTAACGCCCAATTATGTGCAAAAAGAGGGTGGATTGTTTTTTTTTATCGCTTTGCCAGTCGTGCTTGTTCAAGTGTTTATGAGCAGTTGTGAAAAATAATGAGTTGCAAATTTCAGAGGGCCTCGTTTGGAAATATTTTTTCAGTAAACGGCGACGTGACTCTGCACTACTTGTCTATTAAAAAAACTTCTGAGTGGCTCGAGTTGAGATTCAAAGAAAGGAAAATAGCTGGAAGTATTGTTGGCTGACAAGATTTACTCAAAGTGTTATATGAACCAGCAGCTGGATCTGGATTAACTTGTTTAATTGCAATGAAGCAATAAAGGTGCTGGAGAATTGCAGGTGGCGGTAATTCCAAAATTATGGCAAAGAAGATAAGATGACGTTCAAGTTTACGGTTACTTTTTAAGTGCTTAATTTTACTGCTTCATGAAACTAAAATATTATTCACGTTATATTAAGTTTTAAATTTGAACCACTACATTTAAAAATAAATAGCAAAAATTCTGATAAAAAATATTTCTTCATAAAGGTTCATAGCAGAAATGCAAACTTGAAAAATGGAATCACCGAATTTCAATTAATTTTGGCATTTAGAAAGACTCCATTTAAACAACATTCTTAGATCACAGAAAAATAAGTATATCTGGTATAGAAAAATATACTATTAGGATTACTTCATTAACGCTGGGGGGGCAGCAACAGCAACAGGTTTTGATTAGGATTGTGTCCTGAATGTAAGTATAATTAAAAACATATAACAAAAAAATTAGAACTTGGAATTGACACTGGTTGAAAAGTTTTCATTTTTTCAGTTGAAGTAACATTTCAGAGGATGTTCTCATTTCAATATTATGAAAAATGCGTTTACATGTCAACCAGTGCTAATTCAGAGTTCTAACTTTTTTCGTTAGTTAAAGAAGCAAAATTAATTTTACCTTTGGAAAACAATGCTGAGCCTTAACCTTAAAAGTCTGTATGCCATAATAAAGCAGCAATGAACGTTGAATAAATTATTTTTTTGATTTATATTTAAGTGCAATTAAAAAGTGGCACAAATGGGTCAAAAACTATGTTGTCGTACTGATGGGAGGAATTATGTAATATTTTTTTTATGAAAAAAAAAATATATATATATAAGTTTTCCTTCAACATATTCTTTGTTAACTCGCTTATGATGTTTATTTTTAATAAAATTTCGAAAAAAAAAATATTATTGTTCATTAACATTGAACGGAGATCATGGATACAACGTAAAAAGGCGTGAGTGGGTTGCATTGTACTCTACATTATATCCTGAAGTCATTACGGTCGCTCCTCTTTGTTAGCGAAATTTCACATTTCAATGCGAAAAAAAAATTGAATAATGTGCGGTCATTAGGCGTTGGGAAAACACGTCGCATGCAATTCACCGAGAGGGGAGAATTAATTTGACTGATTTGACCTCCGACACGTATTTTGTGAGCCGCGGCGAGGAGTGGCCAAGGTTTAAAGAGCGTGGCCTGCGCCATTACAGGGGTCAGTCAGCATCATGAAGTGCTTCTCTCTGGTCGTGTTTGCTCTCGTGCTCTTGGCAGTTTTTGGTGAGTTTTTTAATTCTCGATTCGACACTCCATTATTTTATGAGCGGCTCGCGAGCACCGATTGGCACGACCTTTGCGATTTTCTCCTGTCCTCTTCCAATAATAATAATTGTTTAGCGGCGTCGTGCCCGTATTTATTGCGGCTTTTTGACGACTCTGCTGTCCCTTACGAATTTTATTTTTGCAGCCGAAGGCGCGGAGCGTGACTGCTCCCCGAAATGCCAGTGCACCAACGTGCCCAACAAGACCGAATTCTGCGGCATTCAGGGCATCAAGAGGGTCACCTTCAGCAGCTCGTGCGAGATGCTGTGCCACAACTGCCAGAACAAGACCAGTGAGTATACAAGCTAGTGCTTGCCCCAAATGACCAATTTAATTTTTCTATTCATCAATAAAAAAAAATCGTTTTAAATTCAAAACACGTCCAAGCTGCTTTTTCTTTAGACTTGGATTGGGAAAAAGGTGATTCTTTTCAGCTGAAAGAGGTGACAGGTGACGAAAAAGGATATTAGGTGAAAAGAAGACAAATTAGTGACTTTTTTCTACATTTAAATTTTAAGTTTTAGGGTGTTCTTTGATGAGAATTTTTTGTTAAAGAGCAAATTTGTATTCTTAATTAAATCATGTTTTAAAACCTTAATTTTAACTTAAACAAATATAACACGATTATGTTAATTTACAACAAATGAGTTAAAAAGTGTTTGCCGAATTTTATGATTATTTGAATTTTAAACTGAATTTAATTTTTTTACAGACTTTAAGTATCAGAGTCCAGGAAAGTGTCCTGCTGACGCCACCACTACTCCTCCACCCCGAACTGCCCAAGCTGGCCAAGCTGCCAACGTGGCCCCAAAACCTGCCAAGCCTGCCGTCGACCCGGCACAAACCGTCCGTCACTTATCGGGTTAATTCGTAACCCTTTGACGACCACCGCGAATCCATCTGGTTTTGAAAAATGAGGAAAACGATCGAGTCTCTTCGGTGAAGGGGGTCTTTGAATCTATGAATAATTGTAAGGCAGATGGACATCGTGACGCGAATGCTGTCATTATATACGCCGCGTCTTGTTATCCAATCTATGTGAATAAATCTATTGCGCTCCACTTCGACTTTCTGTATTTGCAAGCAAACCGATTTGTTTCAATTGACCTCTCCACGACCCTGACGCTCCGTCGTTGTCCAGAGCGTTTGTTTTGAAATAGAAAACCAACATGCATTTTGACCCAATTGCAGAGTTTGAAAGGTGAGATGGGATTGGTTTTAAAGTCAGTTTAAAATAGCTGCAATTATGGCTTGCAAGTGCTGGTTATTATTTATTATGCACTGAAAGTGAATTGTTTCTTGGAAAGTAATTCGCTTTTAAAAGTGTAAATTTTGTTTGGTTTAATGAATGTTTATTTAATTCGAAAACTAATACACATTGCAAAAAGAAAAGGAAAAAAGTGTAAAAACTTCAAAAGAAATGTGCAGAAAAGTTAAATTCGGGAACTTTTGAATTTATAGAAACAAAAATATTATTGCTTTAAAGAATCTAAAATATCAAAAACTAGTACATAATTTGTTGTATATATGAAAAATAAATAGGACTGTACATTGATTTTTTTTCTCCGTGTCTTTCACACATCACTCTACCTGCCATGCCTAATATGAAAACATCGTGGGGGACAATTTGTGCCTTTTTTGCAATCACGAAGCGCACAAAGCAAACGTGACACGGTGAAGACAAGGAACGATTCTGTGAAAACACCGGCGGGATGAACTTGTCCTCCGCGGTGGATAAAACTAACTTTCAAGGAAAAAGAATCAACGCTCCAATTTGGCATGAAGAAAGAGTTTCAACAAAGATCAGAAATTTCGATCTGTCGTTTTTCTCGCTTCTGACAATGAATGAGCCACTTTTTCTGCCATCAGAGGACGCGTAGCATAATTAAAAAGAGCGGGCGACCTTGCCGGCGGCGGCCACTCTTCAGTTGCATCTTTCGTTCTCGCCGCGGCCAATTAACGCAGCCGGGTCATCGCAGGTCGAATCACTCGCCCTGACTGCAGCCAAATTAATTTTTCGCCTTTCATCGGGCACGCTCTTTCGATTATTGCCGCCGATAACTGTTTTTTGCCGCTTGCGACATGGTGGGTGGGTCTTCAGAATTGGAAAATTCGTGATCATTCCGAGCGGGAATAGAAATTGTATGGATAAATTTACGACCACGCTTGTATAATTACGAACAAAAGGTGGAATCTTGTCATGCCAGAATTAATTCACTATGCACAGCCGATCGAAAGGGATTTCGCATTTGGGGCCGTGAGATTAATTTTACAAGTCAATAAAAAACTTGTAAAATATTATGGTTGTGATGCAATGCAGCGTGGTTGACAAGACGTTAAATCAATCAATGTCTCAAGTAAGAAATTTGGATACAAATCTCCGACCTCTGTGCCTGGGAATCCATTTGGGACCTAATTAATTAAGCAACCAACTTAAGAACATAAAAATATTTGGGATAACCATTCACTTTTTTTTTCTTACAAAGGCATACCTTGTTTCTCAGTGTTTATAGTTTATTTTTAAACAGTCTGGCCAATTTTTTAATGTAATCATATTCCTCATATTGACAAACAATAACAATTGTGTCTCATGGTTATCATGTAGAGTGTAAATTAATTCATATTGTGCAGGCGCTTGTGTAAGACAAAGGGTTTATTGTTCAGAAACGTTTTTAATATTCAAAGAGGATTACTCTGCATTGGAATGGTTATTGAACTTTGGTATTGGTTATTCATTGGCGTTGATCAATTTTGAAACTGCATATTCATAAAAATGATATATTTTTTAGTACATATTAAAATTCAAACGGTAAAAATTTTAATGATTTTCCATGACTTTTAAATAATCACAATAGCATGATTTAATAAAAGAATAAGCCGCATGTAAGAAAAATATTTTCAAAGGAAATGATCTTATTTTGCCAAAAAAAAAAATATGTATAATTTTTTTGGCATTTTGAAAGCTATTTCCAGCATTGAAAATTAAAAAAAAGATAAGGAGAATATTATTCAATATAATTGTATGGTATTAAATAAGAATCCATTAAAATGCAGGTTGAGTTACATGAATTACATTTTCTGAGCTCCATATCAACTCAGTAAAAATGGTATTAATGCATAATATTGGTTAAATTCTTATTAAAAAACATTAAGTTTTGCCCAACAACTAACGTGCATGAACTAGCAATAATTATAATCTTCTGTAGAGGAGATAAACAAAATGGGACAAAAATGAACGTCAATGAGAGTAAGTGAAAAAAAAGCGTGACACATGTTTTCAGATCTCGGCTCTAAATCTCTTAATTCCGCCACTCTCGAAAACGTCGGTTTTGAATTTCCCAGCAGCACCACTGACATGAATAAACATAAGCCTGGAAACGGAACTCCCGCGACGACTCAAGTGCTCCATTTGTGTCATCGACTCACAGGCTTTTAATTGTTATTGGAGCGCAAAGCAAAGGGACACTAGAGCAGGATGCATTATTTGCCTAATCCCCTGGGCAAAAAATAGATTACCGCCAACAGCTCGAGAGAAAGAAAGAAAAGAGAGCAGTCGTCGTCCTGCCGTCTTGGGCAGAATAAATAGTGTTCTGGTCCAGCAGTGCATCTCTAACTGTTCAGCGTCCAGCGGTGCGTGACCAAAGCACACTTAATCACCGACGGCCGCTCGTTTAATCGCTGCGCAAATGAGCACCACGCCGGCTAATAGACACCGGCTTGCGCAAATACATATCAGCGAGAAGAGCTCTCCGGAATAATAAATAAAACCTTCATCCAATTCGCGCCTTAATTGCTGATATGTATTGCCTTCTTTGCACGTTGAAAGAAAGGAAAAAAATGAAATGGTTCGACGTTTTATGGGCGTCGTGAATTCCTTCGGTTGTTTGCATTTTTAACGGTGACGCAACTTTTCCTGACCGACATTATAATTGTGAGGCAAAAATTGCAGTATATGAAGACCATAACTATAATTAAATTATGCACCAATAATTAAGATATATTTATGTATATTTCCTGAAATAAAATATAAAAAGATACCATATAACAAATTTAAAGAATTGTGTTAAAATAATAACCGTTTAACTAACTATATATGTATTTTATTTCATTACATCAAGGCAGATCAGTGTATTTTTTTCAAACTTTAGTGGATCTTTCATGTCTAAATATTTGATAATTAATATGGAAATATATTTTGTTTAAAACAGTTAAATTTTTAATAACATTCAGGAAATAATAGAAAAAGGCATTGATATCAGCGAGTAATTTTTGAAAGTCTATATATTTCAAAATCAATATTCTCTGAAATCCTATTGAATAATTATATTATTAGACCTGATTTAGAGGCAAAATAAAAACGGCAATTAGGCAGCACAAAAGCTTAATTTTTGATTAAAAATGATTTTATTTTCTGAGAATAAAAGACTGTTCCAATATAACAAAATCTAATCTAGGATAATATAAGATTTCATAATAATTTAGGAAGACGGAAAATTATATCAAAAAGTTCCGTATTTTATCATTTCGATCTTAATGATACAAAAATAGAAGAAAAATCCACTCTATTCAAGTTTAAATACAAATTTAATTTACAATCAAAGTTAAAATTAATTATGTTTGTTTCCCAGTTAATTAGAAATCTCACGAGAGCAGTAAATTGTAAAGAAAAGCGGCGTCTGGAGAGGAATTATTATTACTTGACCGGCCGCCACTCCTTCGCAGTATATTCCATTGTTATCTGTTTTATTGAACAAAATGACAATAAATCTAAACGAGATCTAATTTCCCCATCTCGCGCGTTTGACAAGTTGCTTCATTTCCCTTCCCATGCCTTGAATAAGGAGAACACCTCTCGACTTATCTCCATGCTCTTTAAATCATCGCTGCTTGATTTATACTTGTTTTATGTTCTTTACAGTTCTTTCTCATGATTTTTCAGCACTCGCAGCCACACACACACCAGAATTCGGCGGCTCTTTTCTCTTTCTTCGGCGCTACCTTGATGGCCATCATCATTATCATTAAAGCTCATCATTAAGTTGCCGTAAAAAAAAAATACACACCATGCGTCTATATCTCCTATCGTGCACGCACCAAATAGCAAAAAACGCTCGCTTTTCTCCACACATTCAAACTCATTTGAATAAAATGTGCACGGCTCTATGAACTTTTGACTTCTCTTTTATACTCGTTTGTTTTGCACATTTGCGTTTGTTATCCAATTTCGCACGCGCGCTTTCGAAAACTTTTACTCTCTCGTTGTTTACTTTTGGTGCCGCGTGAAGGGTGAAATGCGATTCTGCAGCCGCAAAAGAAAGAGAAAGAGAGGACGAGTACGTGTATCTGGAATTGTTTGTTTGTTTGCAGCGCATGGTCCAATTTTATCTTGACAAAGGGTCTTTTATCGCCCAATTCAAATGGTGATACGCAAATTTCACCCAACTTTCAAAGGCATTATAGCTATGTAGCTGTTTTTGAAGCGTGCCAAATTGAAAGAGATGGAAAGTTAAATTTTTACAATCAGCTGCTAAAGTGGACCATTTTAAACTTTGGAAGAATTTTTTATTACATATACTGCAACTAAACACAAAATAAATTGTTCTGGAACCGAGAAAATTTGGATAATATAAAAGTTAAGAATATTTCTTAAGAGACGGCTTTATAGGTAGGATTTAATGTTTTGGTTGATTCCAATTTTGAATTGATAATATTATATTCAATAACATGCAAGGATTAGAAATTATTAAAAAGTTGAGGTTAGTACCAGCAAATCCCATAAGCTAAGAGAATAATAATAGTAAATTAATTTATTTCAAAATTTTCCACAAAATCTTACAAATAAAGGGTAAAAAAATAATGCTCAATTTCAGAAAAAAAATTTTCATGCCGCAATTGCAATTTCCAATTGAAAACATTATTATTGTGGCTCACCAGTCAAAAACTCCATTTGAAGTTGACTTAACTGGTAAATGTTTCAAATGAAAAAATATGCTGCTATATATTTTGCATATATATAAATTATTTTTCAATTGATTTTCAAACAATTAATAATTTATTTTTAAAAATTATTTTAGTTTATTTTTAATCACATTATTTTATATCTACTATGTGTAATTAAGCCAAGATTAGGATAAAAATAGGTTCAGCTGAAATAAACTTGGCAAATGATATATATTGAATGCAGATCTTTTAAAAAATAAAATAGCAAATTTAAAAATTTTTCCAAGTAAAATTTATTATTTAATAAATATAATAAATTTTTCTTGCATTTTGAAAATTAGAATTAAATTTAGGAACGAAAAAGCCTAAACAAAAAACGGCAGAATTGCAGCAAAAGAGTAGCGGCAGGAGAGAGAGGAGGAAGGAGCGCGATACCGCGAGAGCGGCGCCTGCAGAAGTGGCTCTCGGTTCGCGTGGTCGGAGGCGGCGCGTCTGCCGCCCCCGTGCGGAAGTAGGGCGGCCTCGAGAGAGGAGCACCGCGACTAGCGGATGGCTCAGGTAGTCTGGCAGTCAGTCAGGATGCAGGTGTTGGTGCTGCTGGTGGTGTTCTGCCTGGTGGCCAGGGCTGAGGAGGACTCGCCGGACTCGAACTGGCGCACAATCAGCGCCTCGGGTCGCAGATATTTGCACCCGCCCCCGGTGCCGCACGGAGCAGCCGACGCTGCCGCCACCAAAACCACGAGTATCGCGAGTATTCCTCCTTCGGACGTCAAGAATTTGCACTCCAGCCCTGTGGCCACCAATTACTACCCGAGTCGGAGAGATCCGGACGCCGTGAGTGACAAGGTAAGAATTTTATTATCAATTAAATTCAACGTGAAAAAAAAATTCGTTTAGCAATTTTAAATATTTTGATATTTTTTGCATTTTCACTAAAACAATTCTTTAATGAAAACGTTCAAAAAAACTTTGGTTATAGGATATTTTTTATTATCTATGAAGGCCAACTTTAAATGGAAACGAGATTTAAAGAATTGCTTGAACACACAATTTAAATTTTTTTGAAATTATTTGCAATTTAAAAATTTTAAAATTGAAACGTTTTCAATAAGAAAAATCTATGTGTTAGATCAAGAAGTTTGTTGTAGAGATTTTGTTTAATTGTGAGAATTTAATAATATTGATTTAATAGAAAATAAATAATTTTTTCCCAAAATCTTGTATAAGGAAATAAGAAATTTGCTGAAAGCTCGCGAAAAGCAAACGTAGCGTAACAAACCGCGCGTTTAATTGTAAGCAGAACGATAATTGAGCAAAGTTACCGCACTGAAAAACTGTGTCAACGCATTAATTTTAGAGCGACACGAATCCCGCGCCAAGCAAAGGAAATATAATAATAATCTCCTGACGGTAAATAAATAAAGACGCTTAATGAGTCAATTTTTCAATCAGCTGCTGTGAGATCGAAACAAAAAAGCTCTTTCCTGCAGCACACCACGGCGAGTTTTATTGTTTCCTGAAGTAAAAACCGCAGGACGAATGGGCAGGTTTACTCAAATTACGTCATTACTGCATTATTGCGGTTTGTTTTTCGCTCGTCGACGGTGTAGTCCTTTGAAATTCGCTGCTTTTTCAGCTCAATTAAATCCATTTGATACATTCCCCGGCGCGAAAATAAATTGCATGTTGATCAAATGGTGCGTCCGAAACGTTTGGTTGTGATTTTGTCTTTCCGTTGACACATTTCCAATGAAGCGGAGAGCCCGGTAAAAAATCATAAATCACATTCGGTTGTTTATTCGTGTGCGGTCAGCTACTTTTGTTATTCAGATTGAGCGTTGCCCCTTTTTACCATTCACACTCCATTGTTTGGCTGAACTCTGGAGAGGCGAGAAAAAATGAATGATAATTTTATCCGGGCAAAGACACGAACATAAAAATATACATTCCTCTGCAACGGAATTAGTGTGCGGCAGTCGCTGCAGCTGCCAGCCACACGATTATAATAGTCACTTGAAGGTGGTCCACGACAACAAAAACAACAATGGAAAGCTTTAATGTTGAGGCTTATAAATAGAGCAGAGGGCCAATTTCTTGATACATAAAAATACCGTAAATTACATTTTAATTCTGTAATCTCTAGATATATTCCCTCTTTTTTGTTTAAAAAAAAAATAATAATAATAAGAAATTTATTTAATACTTTCACATCCGGGATAATTTTAAATTTTTTACTTGCAAATTTTCCTCTCATTTTATTCCTCGGCAACTTTTTTTCACTTAAAAGCTCAAGCACACTCACATTACATTTATTACATAAATTAAAAATTAAAACTGCTGGTATCATTAAGGAGAATTACCGCTTTAGCCTCATTAGGCAGCGTAATCCGAGCACCACAAGTTATTTTCCCTCATATCTTGCGCACCTCTCAAAACTCCAGTTAACCATTTCAGCCAAGTTATTGCACCGTGTCTTACGTCACTTTTTTTTCGTTACATCCACGCATTTTTAATTTAAACTGGGTGAAATTAACGCGGAAAACAATTCAAGTAAAATTATCCCGTTACTCGGCGTTGCAGTAGTGTATGTGTTGGATGTGTATTTATTTTTATTTGAATGAGATATGGAACGGCAGGGCGTTACACACAAACATCCATTTCTCGACTGCCGGTTCAGAATGTACGTGCATAATAAAAATTAAACGGCGCACACACACAATGAGGCAGTATGTACGTGAATTATGGCCTGGCGTCGAAATAATAATCATCATCTGCAGCATCACCGAGTTTTTTTATGGCAGGTAGACACACAAAGAGATGGCACCTAATCAGGAAGCGCTCAACAGCAAGCGCCGTTCGTGACTTCTTGACCCGTATTTTGGAACATGATCGCAATTAAAACGGCGAGAGAGTATTGTTTTGCAGTTAATTGCTGCCGAAAAGAATCATCGCACAATTCATTATAACGTACGAGATGTTGCAAAACAAATTTACGACTAACAAGACGAGGTGCTGACAGATTAATTACGTTAATTATTTGTTGGGTGAAGCCACCTTGTTTAGACAAACAAAGAAGGAGTTGCTGTGTTGTAGAGGATTTAATTTGAACGGATAATTTTTAACTATTTTCATATAACACTTACCTTAAAAAATATTTTCAGAAACATTTTCAGTTATAAACATTTCATAAAGAAGATTATATTAATATACTTATTAATAACATTATTCCAAACTTTTTAATATTTTTTTCATTATTTCAATTATTTATCTTTATACAACAAAAATAATTATACTACTAAATTTAAAATCATACAAATTTACTAACATTATGTTAATAGGTTTAAAAATTTAAAAAATATAATACAGACTCGATCACAAATGCATAAGTTTACATAATACGGCCATAAAAGCAATTAAATTCGTCTATTGTTAATCATTGTAAGTAATCCAGCCAAAAAATAACATTATTAAATGAGATCTGGTTTCATAAATTGATCCCAAGTGCAGTTATAAAAAGTAATTTGCCCATGTCTGCAATTTTCCAGTAATTATGATTAGCGTTCAAATTGACTAATTGTGAGACCACGCTGCCCAGCTCTATGGTAGTGCGGGTGGAAATCCTAATGAAATTAAGTGCTTCGAGTCGTGCTTCAAAAAAGTTCGCCTCGAGCTTGGCGAGTAATTTCGGCAACGAGGGTCCAGCGCAGAACAATCGCCGCAAAACAGCAGCGGCAAAACGCGTTATTATTAAATAACAAAGCGAAAGAGGTGGGCGCAGCGTGCATTCATATTAATTGCGGCTGCGAGGAGCATTTTGGTAGTACGCAAGATAATTGAAATGTACCGCAAAGGAACGCGCGCCGCGCTCTCAATGCACTTCCCGTGAAAGTTAAATTTGGCGTTGAGCTGTGAACGGGATTGCGAGTAATGGATGGGCCTGTACCAGCACGATAAGGGGTCAAAGGACACACCTAGCCACTTAATTTCCGACGGAGCAGAAACTTTTTGGAGGAAAGACGGAATTTCTTTCGAAATGCAGAGAAATGTGAAACTAATTGCCAGGCGCGAGAAGCAGATTTTGACTTCTCAATATTTTGACCTAGGGGTTAATCGAAGTGAGGAATAGGAAATCAAAGGATAGCCGGTTAAAAAGTTTTAAGTTGATTGGGAAAAATAAAAACTATTGAATTGATAAAAGAATTAAACATATTAATTTTTAATTAAAATTATAATGATTTTGGCAAATGTACCGCTATTTTTTTCCTTAAAGGTGTTTCCGTCTCGATTACAATGAAACAATGATAAATCGCGTACGAAAGCGTGCACGCTCAAGAAGAGTGTTGCTTTCCTTTCGAACGTATATAATATTCCATAATTCAGGAGGACGAATCTGAATTTCAAACGGCGTCGGCCACAAACAATTGTACCAACGGCAAAAACATTTCCACTCTCTGCACGAAAAACGCCGGCAGCAATTATACCCAGCGGCTCGAATCATTTAATTTCAACGCGAAAGAAAACAAATCTGGGAGCTGCAGCAAGATTTCCTTGAGAATTTGTTACGATTGAGCACGAGCTGATGATGTGAAGGATCAACGGACGCGGACAAAAAGCACATACAAGGAAAGGGAATCGCCGTGTTATTACAAGATTTATCCGCTCGAATTAGACGAAAAAAGTGACAGAGAAAAAGCGACTTGCACATGTGTTTTATTTTATTCGGCTCACACCTGTGCGACGAATTCAGTCCGCAAAAAAAAAACGCCACCGCAAAGGACAGTGACCAGATTGGGTCAAGGACCGGCCAGAGACGATCAAATCGAATGCATTTTCACTTTTTCCCAGATCGGCAAAAACCGCGGGTCGCTCACACCTCCTGTTCTTTTCATTCGGTTTGATTCAATTGGTACTCTGACAAAGCACAAATGTATATATACGGGAAGCTTCTTCAAAACGTGTGCATTAATTTTTTTCCTTTTCCTTTCGGTTCACTCTCTCATGCATGAGTCAGGTGGCATCTCCGAAGGAAATACAAAAAAATGCAGAAGCGAGAAATGTAATCGACACACAATGATAGCCGAAACGGCGGCGGCACCAGTTGGTTTTATTTTTCCTTTCACAAGAGTTATTCGTGAAGAACGATTCTCGGTACACCTTTGAAAAGGAAAATCCGATTAATTCGAGTGTGGAACCGCGCCGAGAAAAATCACAAAATATATTTCGTATGCGTGCACAACGATAACAGTTTCGGTCGAATGATGGCAGGAATTTAAATGACTTCTCTAATGCTTTTGCTTTTAAAGGGTTCGCCCATCTCTATTGTGAAGAAAAAACGCACATCAGCAAATGATTAACAAAAGAAGAATGGATTCACCATGATTCATTTTCGCACATAACTTTGGCGCTCGGAAAGAATGGGTGCGAATAAAAAATTATTTCCCTGGCAAACATTTACTTTTTTAGCACCATGATGTAGCTTTTTTACCAGCTGAATAAATTTTAGATTGTAAAAATTAGCAAAAATATTAGATTAAAATGAGAGTTACCTATTAATTAGCTAAATCTTTTTAAAAATTAATGAGTAAAAAGCATTATGCAGTGAAAAGTCCAGTTATCCAGGCATTAATTAAGATAGGATTGATGCGTCAAATCTAGGATTTGTATTAAAGTATGATTGTCTATTTCTCAGCCAGACAATCACCATTAGTAAATTGAAGGGACCTCACACATCTCTCTTGATGATCAGAAGAAAAAAGCCTTTTTAGAAACAATCCTCAAAATTACAACTGATTGTCTTTTCCAGCTTCAAAAGCGCGCGTAATCACCATGGGCTGATAAAAAACATT